ATAAATGAAAACATGAAAGCAAAGGGATATACTGTGACAACAACTCAATTAGAAAATAAATTAAAATCGCTAGAAAGATCATACAAAAATATGATAACAAATAACAAGCAAACAGGCAGACATCGTATGACATGTCCATATCAAACGTAAATATTACTTTTATTTTAGACTTTTAAGATAAATTATAATATAAAATATTCTTTTCTTATAAAATATTTTATTTTTGTTACAGAGAATTAACAGAGCTGTTAGATCACAAACATAATATAGAACCTGTAGCCGTTTCTGGTAAAGATGGTTTGATAAGAAAAGAAACAAGTACGCTGCTGTTCAATAATCGAGTCTTACTTTAGTCACACTTGGGTGTAGATAAGCGCGCTATGTATGTACACACTTCTTCACCCTCCTACACTCGACGGACTCGATTAATGAACAGCAGTGTACATTGCAGGTACAGGAAGTAGACAAAGGGTAAGTTCATACAATGAATACTAGTAATTATAAATTCTGAATCAACGTCTATATTTTATATATCTTTACATTTCACATTTTGCATATTTTAGATATCATAAAAACAATGATCACACATACGTAATGTTAATACAGACAATTAAAATGTAAATGCAACTAATAATGAAAATATAACTACAATTGAAAACAATGAATTTGTAAGACAAAGTTCTATAAATATCATGCTAACACAAACCAGCGAAAACATTACTCCTAATTTAAATGAAGTAGGTATAATATGTGTACCCTATTAATAAAATTTTTATCAAAGTAATTAAAAAACATGCATGTCTTATTTATTGAACAAGAAGCAGAGAAAATTAGGTAGTACAGGACGAATGCTGCAAAAATGTGAGAAGACTATTGAAAAACTCACAGAGAAAGTTTATCTGAAAATAATATGAAAAATGAAAGACACAGAGAATTACTGGCTGAATATAAGCAAATACGACATATCAGGACATAGCAAAGATGATAAAAGAAGGATTTACAACAGCAAATTAACATAGAGAGCAAAGAAATAAACTTTTACAAGATTTTATCCTAAAAGAAAGATAGAGAGAATAAGACTTACAGAAGATTTATTACAAAATAAGCTAGAAATAAGTATTAAACTGTTGTATGTGCTATGTATTGCAGTATTATATATTAAATGTTTATTTTATTGTTAATATAATTTTTCAGTTTATTAGTTTTTACATAAAAATGCATGATTACATATATTTGTACTTTAAAATATTAAATAATAAGATAAATTATTGATAT